CCCAAACATCTTTTAAAAGCCAGCAGTGGCCCACAAATTAGCAGCTTTTAGCAAAATATAGGGAAAGAATTGAAAGTATATTGAATAATACTATTAATATCAGGTTCTTTTATATGTGGCCTCAGAAGTAACTACACCAAGTTTAATTAAGATCACTCCTAAACTTGGAAGATGACTTCAGCCTGAGGGGGAAAATATATACAAACTATTAATATTAAGGTAACCATAAGCATTATATAACTGTGTTCCATAAATATAAGTATGCAGATGTAGTGGTACAAGTGATTATTTTTTGCTCCTCCCACTGATAAAGAATGGAGCCAGAAAAAATATAGGATGTACTAAAATTGAATCCCTGATAATAGCCACTGAAACAGTGATTCCTTCTGACACAATACCCTAATGTTACACCTGGACTCTTTTGTGCTAACCGAGCATGACAACTCAGTGCATATTTACTTATAAATCTACATTCAACTCAATTACAGATAGGATTACACTACCCTGTACTATAGAAAGATCCAGTACAATATAGATATCTAGACAAATAAGAAGAGTCTGAAATAACTGATTCAACCCAGAGAGTCATCTTATAATCAGCAAAACTGATTTTGAAGACTCTCCAACTGAAGCTCATAACATGATTTGAGTCCTTCTAAAGTTCAGGATTACAGAGGGAATGACACCCAACAAAACAGCAAATTAAGATTCCAAATGTCGTAGTTTCATTAGACAAACATAACTCCTATCCTCCCCCATAAAAAGCATTTTGTCACACCTTCCCATTGTTTCCATATTCTCAGTTTAGATAGGGTGACTTCAACACTCAACTCTACCCATCTTGTTCAGTGAAGAAATTTGAGAGTTTTAAAGGAGATGCATCAACACACTGTAACACTTATCTGTTCAGAATGTCAACTTAATAACTTGCATTGATTTGCATATCTTAAAAAGTCTTCTTTATCTTCCCTTTGTAACCCTTAAAGCTTTCAGAAGTCTGCAATGGTTCTAAAAGTGTGTATGTGTGTGTATGTGTGTGTATATGTATGTGTGTGTGTGTGTGTGTGTGTGTGTGTGTGTGTGTGTGTGGCAGCTGCAGCGGGGTTTAAAAGACTGACAAGGAACCCCCCCTCAAAGACTGGAAACAGTGACAAGAATTTCTAGGGGGGGGGGAACGTTTTGAAAGAATACCACCCCTCCTTCCTTCGAGGTTTGGTACCCAACAATCTGAAGATCTTTCACCGGCAGCATCCAATCTGGGTCGCTTACCAGGGCAGAGGGTTTCTCTTCCGAGCTTTCCGACTCATGCGGCAGCCGTGGGCGACACCTTTTGTTGTCTTAAAAAGATACATTTCTAGACAGTTGGGCAAACACATCTCCTGAAATAAAGCGGGAGGCCGCTTTCCATAAACGGACGTTTAAGCAATCCGACCAAAACCAAGCGGATAAAAGCTTCCAAGGAAAAAGGTCGACTTTCAGGACGAGATCTGAAATTCAGACCTGAAAGAGGGCGGCGGCGGCGGGGGGGGGGAGAAGAGGAGGAATATCCCGTCCCAAACGCAGGTGCTCTTCCATACCTGAGCAAGCCGGGGATCCCCCAAGGTCCCGCGGCACCCAGGGCCTTCCCGCCTCCTCCTCCACCGCCAGCTCAGCACCTACAGCGGAGGCTCCAATCCGAAAGCTCGGAAGACAGAACCTCTGGTTTTGCAAAGTGATCCTGGGACTCGCCTTCACTCCTCTTTTACTGGCCCTACAGCCCGCTGGGCTCCTCCGAGGAATCCGCCAGACGACTCTGCCGTCTGATCCAGTCGCGGCCGAGCAGCCTCTCCAGCAAGCTCGGCCGACCCGCTTCCAAGAGTTGTCGGTAGCGCTCGCCGCGGAACAACCAAAGGCGGCACCCCAGGCCTCTGGGACCCCGGGATCCCAGGTGGGTGGCCGGGCAAGCGCTCCCCGCTCGCCCCGGGGCGGGATCCTCGTTCTCCCCTCCGCTCTCTTCCACTTCCCGCTCCCTCGGCGCGAGCAATCCTCTGCTCTGCGCCGCGAAACCAAACCACCCGCGCCGTCCCCTCCCGGGTCCTCGGGCGGCAGAACGAGGCCTGGTCCCCGGAGCCCCGCCTGGCGCCCTCGGGGGGGGGTCTCCCGGAAGCCAAAGAAGCCCCTCTCAGACTTCGGGAGCTTTTCTCCCATCCCCGCCAGGGACGGCCGCCCAAGGTCGGCGGAACCGATCGACGCCGACCTCCTCCCCCCCTCCTCGCCCAGCAGAGAAAAGCGGCGAGGAAATGCCCGAGGCGCCCTCACCGTGATCCGAGGGGTGTTCTTCTTGCCTTGGTAGGACATCTTCCCCGCAGGCCGCGCCTACAGCGTGGGAAAGAGGGCAACGAACGCAAAGCGGCCTTTCACTGGAGGCGAGAGGAGGCGAAGCGGCGGGCGCGGGGAGCGGCGCGTTTGCGCGCGCGCCTCCCTGGCTGGCGGATTGTTCTGGCAAGGGGGGGAGGGGGGAAGAGGGGGAGGGCGAGCGCGCGAGCGGCGACGCGGTGTCTCCCTCTGCTCTGCCGGCCCTCAGCCTCACGGAGCAGCTGCCTGATTAGCATTCCGCCTTCGCGCCTCCGCTAAACAGCAGACAGCCCCGCCCTCCTCCCCAGCCCCAGACCGGCAGGCAGCTCCGCTTGGGGCCTCGCTCCCGGGCAGGCTGCGCGCAGACGCGGCCCCTTCCCTGCCCAACAAAGGTTCTGGGCCGCCCTGGCTTGACAACAAAGAACACGTGGCCGAGACGCTGCAAGTGCTGAGCTAGCGGCGGGAAGGCCCTGGGTGGCACGGGGCCTTGGGGAGGGGGGTGGAATGGGGTCTCCGGCTTGCTTAGGCATGGGAGAGCAGCGCTTTTGGGACGGGATGCTCCCTTCCCCGCCGCCCTATTTCAGACCTTGTCCTGAAAGTCGACCTTTTCCTTGGAAGCTGTATTTCTTTGATCTCCTTTTAGTGCTCACGCATGCTTATGGAAAGCGATCTCCCGCTTTATTTCATGAGATGCGTTTGCCTAACTGACTAGGAATGCATCTTTTAAGACAATACTTACTTAAAATAAGCAATTAATTAGCCGAGTCCCCATTTTCTCTTCCTGAGCATTAGCAACAATCTCCTGCGATAATCTGGGAAGGTCGCCTTTTTCCCGGACACGTGTTCTTTGTTGTCAAGCCAGGCTGGCTTCTTTTCAGTTGTTCCCCAGGTACTATTCCAGTATCGATCTGATTGGTGATTAGGTTTACCCAGGAGAGTCTATTCTAGCTAGAGAGAAGATTCCGCTCCTATAGGGGAATGCATTCATTTCAATTTCGGTGGAATAGCGGCCATCTAGTTTTGGGGAATGTCATTTTCTCTAATCCCCCCTCCACCGATGGACAACACTCATCCTCTCCCAAATGTCCGCGTATACACGCAGAGATAGGATACCTATTTATGGTTCTGATCGAGTGGATCTTTGTCCATGAATACTGATCCCATAATGAATATAGGCAACCTCGTAGAATTTGTATTTGTATAAAGGAATATTGGTTGGTTTTAAACCCCTTGTTCTCGAAATCCTAAGTGAGAATGCTCTATTTCCTCCTCCTCTTCACTGTATCATGTGGCCCGTCCTTTATTAACTGCTATAAATCAGGATGACAGAATGGTTTCTTTGCTCCCCTTACTCAGCCCTTTTCCACCTTCGGCCGAATTTTCTTTGCATTCAAGTAGCCATTGAAAAGCGAAAAAAATGTCATTTTTGTTTCTCGCCACAGTTTATCTTTATAGAATGCTTCAGATAAAATAGGTGTTCTTGCCTGGTCTATTTCGCTTGGGTAGTGTTAAGCTTGGTTATTTGTGCTGGTGACGGCTTAGAGACTTTGATGAACGTAACCGGTTTGATTAATTGAAGGCTGGGCGGACTGCACAAAGCCAGACATGCTAATTCAGAAGGCCAGTTAAACGCATTGCTAAAGTCGAAGGGGTGCGCGTATTGCGCCTATTCTCTTCCCGTTTAAAACTATCAGCTATCGGTAACTGATGGTGTTACCTAGTTTGGGTAATGAAACGTCTGCAAGAAAACAAACTCAGCGGCAGTACCGGTTTTAGTGGGAATAAATGCGACGACTCAATCCGCAACTTTATAAACGCCACCTTACACTGCAGCCGTATGCTTATCGGCTAGAAATAAATCTCTCTAGGTTTAATACGATTTAGTATTCCCCACCCATCCCTGAGCAGCCTCGGATTCACGGTAAAATCAACCAATCGGCCGCCAGCGCCCATTGAGTTTCAAACACTGAAACCACAGTGATTGGATGTCTGAGCGGAGAGAGGTGGGGGAGGGGATAAGAGCATACCGGTTGATTCAGATGCAAGTTCTGCTTTAGAAAGGTTAAGAAGTCAAAATTCGCTCCTCTCCTATTTGCCTTGCAAAACTAGCACGTGACTGAATCTTATTTCTGCTTTTTCTGCGTAGCTGCAGGTGACAGCCCCAAAGTCCCACCACCAGGGGCGAGAGGAAAGCCACACACGTAGTGAACCCTGGTGAAACCTGCCCCAGCCCTTTAAAGAGGTAATAGTGGCTGCAAAATCAATCACCGCGTCGCCTCTGCCCTATTTTTTAAGGCTGCTCCCCGCCTGCAATGGTAGAATAAAAGGAAAAGATAGAGCTTTTGATTTAAAACGGAACTCTGATTTAAGAAGTGGAGCTGACCTATTGTGGCTGTTCAATAGGGGAAAGACCTGCTTTCTCTAGCCTCTGGCGGCGCTCTACTTCGCGGACAGACGCACACCTGACGCAAATTGCAACCTTGGTTTAACGACGGGACCGGTTTTTTTTTCTACATTTACAGACACGTTTCAAATGTTCTGCCCTTAAATACATTTCTGAAAAAGAGGGGCATGGGGAGTGGCATATGAAGTTAATGGGAAATTCAAAAACGATCATTTCTTCCCGTGACGACTATCCTCCCCCCCCCCCCGGTCTTCTCCCTTACCTGACGGCCACCGGTAGGCAGCTGCTCCCTAATCCCAGGTGAAGGCGGACACGGCTCTGGCACTGAAGTTGTCCCATTGCTGGTTTCAATCTGCTGTTCCGATTCGCTGGACTGCTGGCTGGAGTCTTCTCGGTTAAGCTTCCGACTCTCGTTTCTTTTCTCACAACTGAAGGAAGCAAAGTTCAGGGTTTTGTTTTCAAAGGCGCCCTCTACGTTGCAAAACATGCCTCCGTATTTCTGCCTGGGCTTGGGGCTCCCGGCGCCGAGTGCCGCGAAGTAATCGGGGAGGTCTTCCTCTTTCTTCTCCGGCTGCTGCTCTCTTCGCTCTGCCATGGCTGCCTGGGAAGCAGGCCACCCTCTTGAGGCTACTGGTGCTTGCAAATGAACTGAAGCTAAAGATTTAGGGAAGGGAGGGTCACAGAAAAGCAGGGGTTCAGCTTGACTTTTCCTGACGAATCAGTCCGGCGATTTCTTAAGCTGAAAGTAGCTTTAAGCTGGAGCCGGGCTGGCAGGGAGCTGTCCAAGATATATGGTGCTGAAACAGACGCGTCAGAGAAGTTCATTAGAAGGACATCTCGGCGGAAGCCCACCTACGGGAGAATTTCCATTGCTGTCAGTTATCCCGCTTTTCCTCTTGGGTGGAGTTGATTCAACTCCACTTTGCTATTGCTGGATCTCGGATGATCTCAGAGAAAAGAAAAGGCTACTAAAATGTAGTGACAGCTAATAAACTATTATCGCTAGAATAGAGTAACTGTTAAACAGAGATAATAAAATAGATTCAATTGCTTTTGTCCTAAAAAGGTTACCCAAGAATGTGTAATAAAAACGAAATATTCTTTTGTCAAAACATTCTGACTACATTGACTTGCTAAACACTGCATATTTTTAAGTCTGTAAACTTTGATAACCTCAATTTTATTGTTCTAAATTTAAAATCTCCAAATTTGAAATAAATACCTATATTAATAAATATGGGCTTCTTTGCTAAGTCCTCTTTTTCTGTTCTGTATTCTCTTAATTTTTATCCCAATTTTCTACAGAAAAGACTAGTAAAACAGAAATTGTAAGTATACTTTCAACAGTTTTATAATTTAGTGCTTAGGGGTAATTCCTCTCCTATTTAACATACATGAGACTGCTGGGTGAGCTCACCTGTCACCATGGGGTGAGGTATCATCTGCCCTGGTGAATTAAATGATGCTGTGGACATCCTAGCTTGGTGTCTGGAGGCTGTGAGGGTCTAGATGGGAAACAACAAGCTTCAACAGAATCCTAGGATGAATTTATAGCTTTGGGTTTTGGAGCTCTCTGATTCTAGAATGATACTGTCTCTGGTGCTGGATGGGGTTGCACTGCCCCAAACAGACCCTGTGTACAATCTGGGGATTCTCCTGGACTCTGGACTCCTGCTATATGAACAGATGGCACTTATGGTCAGGAGGAGCTTTGCACAACTCTGTTTTGTGTACCAGTTGTGCCTATTCCTGGATGAATGGGCCCTACTCATGATCATTCATGCCCTGGTCACCTTTTAATTGGACTATTGCAATGTGGTGTACATTGCAATGGGGCTGCCATTGAAGACACTTCAGCTGGTGCAAAAGGCGGAGACACAAGCGGTAACAACTGATTCTGATGACAGAAGCTTAATTTGGAGATAATCTAAAGCTTTTTCATATGTGCAAAAATGTCCAGCTGTTCTCTTGTGCATAATTAAAAAAATAAAGAATTGCCACTCAGCATGTGATAGCATTGCTTTAGATTTTTTCCTATTCTCTGTAGAGAAAAAAATACTAAAGTAGTTATATGTTTTAAAAGACTTTTAATTAAAAGTTTACAATAATTTATGTACTTTACAAATGAATAGAAAGTCTTTGATATATAGCATATGAATCACAATAAAAAATATGTATAAATGTACATACGAGCCTACTTTAGGCTTATCAATAACTTTTTAGCACAGAACTTAAGAATTGAGGATATGATTATTGTGAGATTACCTTAAAAATAACACAAGTAGAACATGGCATATTTACCATGGGAGAAAAAGTCTTTCCAGATGCATTTACTTTATATAAATATTAACAGTAAATGTACAATTAATATGTAGCTATACTATACATACAGTACAATTTCCTGAGTCTAAACTAAATCCATTACTGCTGGGAAACACATTTTGAACTGTAAGTTTCATTATGGTTTTACTAATGCATGATGATTTGGCACCTGTCCACAAAAAATAACTTTCAGATAACATTTTCTGCACAACAGGTATGTAATGTTAACAAGCTGTGTAAGACACTCAGGGAAACACAAAGATATTTAGTGAGCTGAATATTCCTAAATAACAGCTACAGTCCTTCAACAGCTTGAAAAACAGGCATAAGTATTTTAAACACACAGTCACTAACAAATTAAGCAACAATTCACATGAATTTTATGTTTAGACTTGATGTAAAAATGACCCAGAAATATGCTCCTGCTGGATCTAGTAAAAGACAAGCTATGTACGACAACGCGGTCAGTGTGATATATTTGTTAAGGCTTTTCTGAAACTCTGATATTACAATTAAAGGTACTTATATGAAATCATTTTCTCCATTTCTCCATCAACTGCTTTCTTATATCAGTCATTAAAAGGCTATATGTGCAAAAAAAAAGTTCAGACATAGTTTTGGCTATGGGATATACAGTAGATGTGCTGAGACAGAAAATGAATTCTAAATCATTCTTTATCACAGTTGGAAATTTTAATATGAATTGGATTTTTTTAATACTTAAATTCCTCTTCAGATAGAGTCAGCACATGTGAGGCCTTCCTATTTACTAGACAAGACAGCTCCATTAAGATTGCACAAAATTTGAGTAGATAAATTGGCATGTTCCAATCAATGAAGTCAGTAATTTGTCCGTTCGCTTCCCAAATACTGGTTGTGCATCATCAGTGAAGTACAGTTAATGCTAGACTTTTATAGATGATGCACAAATAAGGTGCATCTAACATCAGAAGCAAAGTATATTAGAACAGCACAGGATGTTTTATGTTGTCATCTGAAATATTCAGAACTATTAAGGCTACAAACTAATGCACACACATAAAAAGCATAGGAGTAAGCCTTACTGAGTACAATGGAATTTATTTTGGGGAAAACATGCATAGGATTGTATCCAAATTAGACAAATTTTAGAAATTTGCATCAAGAATTCTGAACAGAAAGTGTCGATGTCCCCATTAAACCATAGAAAAGGCAGTTACAAATGTACACCTATATGTCTGGACACGCAAGAGCCCTCTGTATCCCTTAAAAACAATCCGAGAGATCTAAATTGTAGTAAAACTGATACATAACACACACACATACAAGTTTCTGAGACCTTTTATTGCTCTGCTTGCTTATTGTATAAATGTTAAGAGGCCTGTGTGTGTGTGTGTGTGTGTGAGAGAGAGAGAGTTTTACCACAATTTTTGTTGTTTTTAAGGAATACAGAAGGCTCTTGTGTGTCCAAATATATAGGTGTGTGTATGTCTGTGTATGCTTCTGAAACTTTTTGCTCTGCTTGCTTATCGTATAAATGTTAAAGAGGTGTGTGTGTGAGTCTCTCTCTCTCTCTCTCTCTCTCTCTGTACATTCTTAAAGTTTATATAATAAACAAGCAGAGCAAAAAAAGTCTCAGAAATTATTGCAGTACATATGGCAGACTAATGTAAAAACTAAAACGTGCCTGGGTTGCAGAGACAATCAAGAAAGCAATTCTGAAAAAGAAAAATAAGAACATTGGTTTGTGTGAAACTCTTTGGAGGAAAGAAATGTTTTTCTTCTGTTTTCTTCAGGATAATAGTTTGAAGCAATCTGGACCAATCTTTGTAAAGGTGAGATGAACCTCAGACGGTCCTCTATCTGGGTTCAGGTATAGTTTAATATAGCAAAAGGCAGTGTTTTGCATCCTGTGACTAGTTCAAGTGAGGAGAAAGTGTCATTCTTCAATTAGCACTGGAAAATCCTGCATATGCATGCTACTTTGCCATGATACCATCTCTTTGGAATCTAATGTTACGTTAGTATAATCTAGAGTTGAGTATCTACTCGTTTCATCAGAGACATATTTCTCTAGAATTAAATTGTGGTTATTTCATGGGATTTCTTTGGTTAATTTGTGTATGACTTCAGAGATTGACAAGCAATCAGCTGTCCCTAGTTTGGTAGTCTCCAGATGTATAAAAAGTCTGAGAATACAATTTTGAGAATTCCAGCCAATATTGGACAAAGATTTGGAATTCAAGGAGGTGAAGCACCAGCAATTCCAAAGGAGATTAGAAAAGACTTGATATAAGCTGTGCAGCTCTAGTCAAGTGTTCATTGAAAAATGATCATTTTAGACTCACAGAAGTAACTCTACATTTTTTTCTATATGGGGTGTGTATCAGGGTCCTCAACCTTGTGGGAGTTGAAGTCCACAAGTCTTAAAGTTGCCAAGGTTGAGGACCCTTGGTGTGGATGAATGTGCGTGTGCATAATACATATATGTGAATGTAATGTAAGACTTCTGAGTTGCAGAAAACAAAAATACATTCACTGAGTCATTCTTATATGTACAATGCATATTTCCATGTAAACATTAGCATATTTATATACACCTTCACTTATTTTTTTACATTTCCCTGTCCTATATAGACAAACCTGTTTCTATAAAAGTTTTTAAAAAGAGATATTAATTGGCAATTATAGGACAACTGAATGAAGCATATATACAGCATGCAAACTTGTCTGCAGAAGAAATTTATACAAGGCAGTTTTCAGTTCTGTGAGCCGTTCGGTGCATCGCATATTGCTCAACATTACCAGGCCAATAGCAGCATTTGAAATCCTCATCGCATCAATTCACTCAGTATTTATGGCAGTCTTTCTCAGTCTCAGGAACTTCCAATTCCCAGAAATGCCCAGCCAGCATATTGAAGTTGAAGTCCACACATCATAAACTTCCTCAGATTGAGACACACCAATTTAAGGCGTTTAAATGGACGCCTACATACAGTATTGCTTTTTGCTTTTAATAAGATCAGGGGTCTTCAAACTTGGCAACTTTAAGACTTGTGGACTTCAACTCCCAGAATTCCTCAGACCCCTGAATAAGATTAATGATATTTACTACTCTAAATAAATGCAATGCCTATGGCACTTGCACATGAGTTGAGTAGGGCCAAGGTATTAGATCAGGGAGACTTGGGTTCAAGTGCGTCTTTAGGTATGGAAGCTCTCTGGGTGACTTTGGGGCCAGTGATCTTCCCACAGCCCAACCTACCTGACAGGGTTTTTCTGGGGACTAAATAAAGGGATATCTCTTCATATAAGCAATCCAGAGGTCCTGGAGAAAAGGTGGGTTATAACTAGTAACAGCAAAAGCAAAAATGTAAGTACACATCTCATGCTGATATCAATCTAAGTGGGTTTCAGGTAAGGATGCACACACAGATTAATGTTGTTTATGAAAGAAGTGAAAAAGAAGTGTTGTGTGCAGGAACTAAATATATCCTGGAAG